CCTGTTTGCATCATTCATTCCCATTCTGATATGGTATCACGTTAGGTAAGGTCCCCCCCCCTGCCCACCCGCGCTTCCGCCTTAGGCCTAATCCTAGCCGCCCCGTTAGCGCCACGCTGGCCCCTTAGCGCCCCGCTGGCCCCGTACGCCCCGCTGGCCCCTTAACGCACCGCTAGCCCCATTCGCGACCCGCTAGCCCCGTTAGCGCCCCGCTGGCCCCCGTCCAGCCCCGCTAGCCCCGTACGCCTCGCTGGCCCCGTTCGCCCCGCTGGCCCCGTGTGCGCCCCGCTGACCCCGTCGAGCCCCGCTGGCTCCTTAGCTCCCCGCTGGCCCCGTTCGTGCCCCGCTAGCATCGTCGCACCCCGCTAGCCCCGTGCGCCCCGCTGGCCCTGTGCGCCCTGCTGTCCCCATTTGCCCCACTAGCCCAGTTAGTGCCCCGCTAGCCCCGTGTGCCACGCTAGCCCTGTGCGCCCCGCCGGCCTCCAACTAGCCAGGCCCTCCCTCGCCGGCCCCCAGTGCCAACGGCCCCTGCTCCGCCGGCCGCAGCCCGCGCCGCAGTGCCGCCGAGCCGCCACGTAGCTGTGCCGTCGTGTCGCTGCCCCCGCCGCGTCGCTCTGTCGCTGCTCCCTTCTGCGCCGGCACGTCTGCCAGATGTCTCCATCGCTCTCCACCACTCTCCACTGCTTTCCTCCTCCTTTCCTTCTCTCCCTGTCAGTGGCAGTCAGCTGCTGCAGCCGTGATGATGGCGGACTCACGGCTCCGCCTGGACGCGGAGGGTCGGGCGATAGACTTCGAGGCGTGGCTCGTCGACCTCCGCCGTCGCCTTACAGGTCCGCACCTGGACGGTCACTCCCTAGCTGTTCATGTCAATGGTTTGCTTCCCCGCCCCGCTGCGCCTGTTGCCCTCCCTGCTGCCCCCACCATCGCTGAGCGTGAGGCCTTTTCCGCTGCTGCGCTTAGTCATGCTGTCTGAGACTCGCGCGACGCCGTCGCGCAGCTTTCTATTAGTTACGTGCTTCCTCTGTCTGAGCGTCCCCGCTTTACCACAGTAGCGAACGCCCAGGCCTTCTTAGATGCTGTCATTGCGAGCAATTCCACCCCCACCTCCGCCTCTGCTCGCCGCCTGATCCTCCCCATGTTGTTCCCTGATCTTGCGTCCTTCCCCTCTATCGCCGACCTTGCCACTCACCTCCGCGCACTTGAGACTAGCTACCGCGTTGCTAGCACTGAGGCTCAACTCACTGTTTTTCCGCCGCCGCCCTGCGCTACCCTTTATCTCATTGCCACGCGCCTCCCTGACCGCCTAGCCATAGCCCGCGACCACTTAGTCAGCACCCGGGTGACCTCACCCTCCCCACCATTATCACTGCCCTGTCTGCGATATAGACCCGCCAGCCCACTCTCTCTCAGTCTAGCGGTACTGCGCCGGTCCCTATCTTTCAGGGTTCTTTTCCCTCCCAGTGCTCTTACTCAGATGTCTCTGCTTCTGTTGCTGAGACCGCCACTGTGGCCTCAGCGCAGCGGCATCCAGGTAAGGGCCACCGCCCCAAAGTGGGGGGTGGTGGAGGGATGGGGGGTGAGGGTGGGGAGGGTGGAGGAGTTGGGGGGGAAAGACGGTGGTTCGGATGAGGGGACCAAGGCTGGTGCCTCGGAGCAGCAGCAGCAGCAGACGCAGCCTCAGCAGCAGCAGCAACAGCAGCAGACTCAGCAGCATCACCAGCAGCCGTAGCAGCACTCGCCGTAGCAACCCCCGCCGCCGTGGTGGACTGGCGGCGCTAGTGGCGGTGGTCGTGGTGGTGGCGGGCGCAGCTCGGTGTCGGATGGCGGCTCCAGTGCGGTCACCTGCCAGTACCAGCTTCAGACCGGCCCCCGTCGCGGCACCGTCTGCTCCCGGTCCGGCCACACCGCCGACCGCTGCTACCTGCATGGACGACCTTTTCTGCCACCGCTTTGGTCCCATGTCGGACCCTCCTGACCGGTACGCCCTGGTTCGCCGCCGTGTGTCTGTCTTTGTGCTTGGCATGGAGCAGATTAGGACTGCTATGTATGTCATGTATGCTGATGACTCTAGTGTGTTTGGACACTATTATCCGATATTGCCTCACGTAGGTATGTCCCCTATGTGTAGTCTAGGCTCCCCTGCTGCGTCAGGCGTAGGACCCTGTGCCTTGTTTAGCCTAGGCTCTACACTCGCCCCTCCTCCGGCTGACGCTACTACGTCGCTCTCCTTTACGCTCGACTCTGGAGCGTCTGCCTGTTTCTTTCACGACCACACTGCGCTCACGCCGCTTGCTACCCCCGCCGCTGTACTGCTTGCTGACCCCTCCTCAGGTCCGGTAGTAGCTCGTAGCTCCACTACCCTCCCCTCTCCGGCAGTCCCCTCGGGCTCCCTTACAGGCCTGCACATCCCCTCGTTCTCTAGGAACCTAGTTGGTGTCGGCTGTCTTCAGGACCTTAGCGTCACCACTACGTTCCTCGGACACAAACGGTACGAGGTTTGTACCGAGGCCGCCACTGGTGCCCCTCTGACCACGTTCCCCCGGGACCCTGTGTTCGGCCTGTTTACGCTTGACACTTTGTCCCCCGGGGTGAGGGCATCCCCCCAGGTGCCTGCGGTAACCCAGGTCGCCGCGGCTTGCTCGTATCGGTCGCCCACTCACCCGTCGCTGCTGTGGCATCATCGCCTAGGTCACCCCGCACTCCCACGTCTTCGTCACATGTCCCATCACGGTCTTGTCTTTGGTCTCCCTGCGTCACTCCCTGCCCTTTTGCCCTCGCCGGAGCCACCGTATACACCTTGCGTTGAGGGCCGGCTACGTCATGCTCCTCACTCCTCCTCATTTCCCCCTACCAATGCGCCACTCCAGACCCTGTACTTGGACATTTGGGCCCAGCCCTTGTCCCTGGGCCGCGTTGAGTGCGCTACTTTCTAGTGCTTATCGATGACTACACGCTCTACACCACGATGTTCCCCTGGAGCGGAAGGCCGACGTGCCTGGCGTTCTTATCCCGTGGGTCATAGTTGCGCGCGTCCACCGCGGCCTCCCAGTGCTTCGTCTGCACTCCGACTGTGGCGGCGAGTTTGCCTCCATTGAGATTGGCCGTTTCTGTCGTGCGGAGGGCATCACCAAGTCGTACACCCTGCCACGCTCCCCGCAGCAGAATGGGGTTGCTGAGCGACGCATCGGTTTGGTCATGGAGGTTGCTCGTACCTCCATGATCCATGCTGGTGCACCCCAATTACTGTGTTCGTTCGCTGTTCGCTATGCCGCTCACCAGCTTAACCTGTGCCCACACTCTCAGCGGCCATAGGTTTCGCCAACCCTTCTTTGTACTAGGTTCTCTGGTGACACGTCTGCGTCCCACATTTGGGGCTGCCTTGCTCATGTTCGTGCCTCTGGCACGGACAAGCTCACTACCCGCACTGTCCCCTGTGTCTTCCTTGGTTTCCCTCTTGACGTGTTTGAAAGGCACTTCTACCACCCGCACCGCTTCTTTCACTCGCGTGATGTCACTTTTGATGAGTCTGTCTCCTTCCATCACCGCTTTCCCCACCGAGATCTCCCGGTTTCCCTCCCCCTTATTTCTGGTTCCCACTCCCCCGGTAGCCCCTGCTCCTCTACCCCCGCGTCCTGCCCCATCCGGTGTGTTGCACGTCACTCCTCTCCCGTCACTTGTCCCGGCTGAGGAGTCGGCTGACTCCGAGGATCCTGCAGCTTCACTCCGCCTTGGTGTCCCCTCCTCCGTCGCAGTCGCCGCCGCAACAGCAGCAGCCGTCGCCGTCGTCGAAGCTGCAGCCACAGCAGCCATCGGGGTCCGCGAGTTCTGGGGATGGGGGCGTTTGGTAGGGTGCTAGTCCTTGGGTTTCTCTCGTATCTTGTCCCGATGGTCTCGGGGGTGGCACCGGTGCTGAAGAGGTTTCTCGTTCTGGGGGTGTTGGTTATGTGGGTGCCAGTCATGGGGTTACTGTTGTGGCTTGTCACGGCTATCTCGGGGGTGGCATAGGTGCTAGAGAGGGTTCTCGTTCTGGGGGTGTTGGCATGGAGTGTCCTGGGGTTAGCCATGGTGCAGCTCAAGGTTCTGGTGTCGGCGTGGAGTAGCAACAGCAGCAGCTGCAGTCGTCGCCGATGTCCGCCCTTCGCCTCCTCGGCCTTCCCTCCCCTGACCTCCCTCGCCGCCGCCTCCCCTGCCTGTCCACGGCCCTGTCTTTCCTCCGCCGAACTTGTCTCTCGCTCGTCTCCCCCCTCGTTCTCCTCCTATGTCTCCTCCCCTGTCACCTGACCCGACGCCTCCGTCTCACGTCTGGTCTTGCCGTCTCTCCCGTGCTTGTCATGTCTTCTCTGTTCAGCGCTCCCACCCTATGTTGCTTTGTTCCCACGCGTCTCGTCCTCCCCTCCTCCCATCGCCTCCTCCGTCCTCGCATGCAATCGCTCCGCCTCCTCTGTCTGACTACCTTCGTGCCGCTAGTCCTCTTGTTCCTCGGATCCTTGCCTTCCTCGTAACCGACCCGTCAGTTCATGTCTCGAGTCTTAACGTGCTTGTCGCTGCAGTCGCTAACTTTGTGTCACAGGATCGAATGTGTCGAGGAAAAGTTGCACTATTGATTGATACAAGGCACTTTTATAATTCCAGATTACATCAGGTAACTAGGTTTATCCTATCCAAAGAGAATAGACCCTTCTAGAAATAGAATCACCCTGTGCATAACCTCGCGAGGCTATTGGCTTTAAGGGATTACGGCAGGATTACGCTAGATATAGCGCGCCAGTACATCCCGAGCCTGGTCGGTGATATAATTATAATATCAGGATAAACCAAAGGATAGTGGAATAGGAGAAATAGGAAACCAAATGGGATGAGATAAAAAGAGGAATGAAATTAAAATGAGATATGGAAAGGGAGATTGGTGTAACGGGGTCGTACTCTCACACTTCCCCCCCCTCAAAGCTGGGTTGTAGAAGTAACACCCTGCTTGACAAGGTATTCCCGAAGGGGGCGATGAGCATTACCCATCTCGGATTGCTCAAGGAACCCAAGTATCCTCAGAAGGATCATAACCCTTCCAACGAATGAGAAGCTCGACGGTGCCATTCCGACGACGGCGGTGTGCGAGCACGGACTCGACCTCGTACTCGGGTTCATCGTGGACGAGGACGGGCAGCAGCGGTGGGGGTTGGCGTCCGGTGAAGACCGTGTTAGGGTCTCGATAGGGCTTCAGAAGTTGGACATGGAAGGCATTGTGAAACTTGCAGGTAGCTGGCAGGCGTAAGCGGAAGGTAACAGGAGTGACCTGTGCTTCAGCGAGAAAGGGCCCGCAGAAGCAAGGTCGCAATTTGGGTGGAAGATGATTGATATTGATATTGCAGGTGTCGAGAAGAACTTGGTCTCCCACGGTGATGGTGTGATCAGTGCGGTGGCGAACGGCCTGGCGCTTCTGTTGCTGCTGAATGTCGAGGAGGCGCTTGTGGGTCCAATCCCAAAGCTGATGCATGGTCGTGATGAAGTCGTGTGCAGGTTGGACTGTGGCTGATGCTGTCGGTTTTTGCGGCATGAGCGGGTGGCGTCCGTAGCAGAGGAAGAACGGCGTCTGTCCAGTAGCGGCGTGAGTGGTGTTGTTGTAGGCAAACTCCAGGACGGGCAGGTGCAAGTCCCATGTAGAGATTTCATCTTTGCACGCTGCGCGGAGGAGTTGCTCTACAATTTGGATGAGGCGGTCGGTTTGTCCGTCTGTCTGCGGATGGTAGGCGGATGACATGGCGAGTTTGGTCCCGAGCAGAGACATCGGTTCCTTCCATAACTTGCTGGTGAACTTGGGGTCTCAGTCGGAGATGAGTGTGGTTGGAATGCCATGTTGTGAGATGATGTAGCGAACGAATAGTTGTGCTGTTTCTTCGTTGCGTGCTATCTTGTATGTCAAATTTTGGAGAATTTGTCGATGACGACGAGGATTGCGTCATGACCGCTCGTGGTAGTTGGTAACCCAGTGATGAAATCCAGGCTAACCACTTGCCATGGCTGTTCTGGGAGAGGAAGAGGTTGCAGCAGTCCTGTTTTTTTCTGCTTGCTGCTCTTCATCCGCTGACATGTAGCACACGAGGTGACGAATTGTTGGACGTCGGCTGCCATGTGGGGCCAGTAGTAGTGCTTTGCAATACCAGTAAGTGTCTTGTTGCTACCGAAGTGTCCTGCGTATAGGACATCGTGGTATTCTTCGAGTAGTAACTTGCGCAAAGGAGGGTAATTGGGTACCCAGATCTTTGTTGATCCCTTACGGTATGTGATGTGACTGTCCCACTGTAGCAGGTGTCGTTTTGCTGCCAAAGGAATTTCCGGGTCGATGGTGTACCCGTGTGTGAAGAGTCCCTTGAGAAGTGGATTCATCCTTTCGATGTGGATTTCGGCAACGTGTGCAGGCCGACTAAGAGCATCTGCTTTGTTTTTGTGGCCGGGCTTGTACACGATGTCATAGTGGAAGTGCGTCTCGAGGAAGTCAATCCACTGGACCTGCCGCCTGGAGAGGTTTGGTTCTGTCTTCAAATATTTCAGGCTGCAATGGTCGGTGTAGACGGTTGTTTTCCGTCCTTCGAGATAACATCTCCATGTTCTGAAGGCGATGATAATAGCAAGGGCCTCCAGGTCGTGTATCGGGTAGTTGAGTTCTGCCCCGTGTAGTTTCTTGCTGAGATAGGCGATTGGTTGCAGTCCATTCCCCTGGTTTTGCATCAAGACTGCTCCTACTGCCTGGTCGCTAGCGTCAACTTCGATGACGTAGTCACATTCAGGGTACCGGTATGATCTCCACAAGTTTTTGCTTCTTCTGGAGTCCCTCCCAAAATTTCTCCAAGGCTCTAGCCCCTCAAGAATTATAAGTTTTCATTAAAGCATCTTTATTAGATAACTTTAACGAATCCTTATAATTTCTTGGGTCTTCTCAGAGTTTCCCCGTCTCGGCAGAGTCCTTTTTCGCGGAGTCAGGTTTTTTCTCGGCGATGTTCTCTGGCGAAGACTGGTTGTGGGGTGGAGATTTTTCCCCATCATTTCCTCCTGCTCGCGTCGAATCAGCTTCGTTGAAGTCGATTTTCCCGGAATCTCGCGGCCGCTTACGGATCTTTTCTTTTTCACCAGCTAGATCCGCAATTACTGGCGAATTCCATTTTTTGGCTTCTGATTGGCCGAAGAATTTCCCCCACTATTGTGTGCCCGATACTCTGCGCGTGCGGCTTTCATTTTGTTGCAGTCGAAGATTCGATGGCCCGGCACTCCGCAAAAATCACACGTGTAGTTGGTGTTTTTCGGACGTGACTGCCCGTCGAAACTGTCAATTTCCATCGGGTCGGCGAACGTGGTGTGAGCCGAGCGGTTGCCCTGTCGCGTAATGCCGACGTGCGCCCGTCGTGTTCCGGCGTTGACCATGTCGAATTGCTCTGCTGCCGAAACGACGTCACTGTAGCTCGCGTAATTTGTCGCTGCTACCTGTCGTTTGACTTCGGTCTTCAGTCTGGCGAGATACGACTGTACTTTTTCCCCTTCGGTCAGGTCAAGAATGCGGTTATAAAATTCCTCCATCTGTTGCGTGTACTGCGCTACACTCCCGAACTGTCGATGGCGATGACTTTTTTCCCGGGCAAGGAAACCCGAATTTATCGGCTCGAAGCGTTTCAGCAGGTCGGTGCGGAACTGCTGCTACGTGGCTTCGCCGTGGATGAAGGTGCTGTTCCTGCAGATCCACTCGAGTGCCGGTCCTCGCATCAGTGTCGCCGCGAGTCGTACACGTTGACCATCCCAGACTGGCGAGCTCCATCCGACAGCTGCAAAGTAGATCTCCATGCCAGCGATCCATCTGCGGGCGTCGGAATTTCGATCGCTCGAATCGAACGGCTCAGGTGGGCGCGGTTTTGGAGCCTCGAGAAACTGCTGCGACTGCTGCGTCGTCGCCGTTGACGTGTCGTGCTGCGCGCCGGCGAGTCGAGCTACTCGCTCGAGCTCGTTTCGCCAAGCTTCGCGATCGGCTCGCATCTCCTCCTTAAGGGCTGCGATGCGCGTGAAGAGCTGCTGGGTAACCTTGACGTTGTCGAAATTCGCCACCCTGTTCAAAACACGCAGGGGGGGGTGGATTCGAAAAACGTGGAGCTGGTACCTACCAGAATCGGCGCCGAAAGAGTCGCCCCCGACGGTTTTTCGAAGCAGGTTTTCCCGCTGCTCTTGCTTAGCTGAGCGCGGCTGAGTGAGAAAAGTTGTGATTACCAAGTGTCACAGGATCGAATGTGTCGAGGAAAAGTTGCACTATTGATTGATACAAGGCACTCTTATACTTCCAGAGTACATCAAGTAACCAGGTTTATCCTATCAAAGGGAATAGATCCTTCTAGAAATAGAATCACCCTGCGTATAGCCACGCGAGGCTGTTGGCTTTAAGTGATTACAGCAAGATTACGCTAGATATAGAGCGCCAGTACATCCCGAGCCTGGTCGGTGATATAATTATAATAACAGGATAAACCAAAAGATAATGGAATAGGAGAAATAGGAAACCAAATAGGATGAGATAAAAAGAGGAATGGAATTGAAAGGAGATATGGAAAGGGAGATTGGTGTAACGGGGTCGTACTCTCACACTTTGCCTCTACTCGCCACCTTGACTACGCCACCGCTCTGGTCTCTGACCCTGCCCGTCCTCCGTTCGCCCGTCCCCCGTCCTACCCTTGGCAGTGACGTCCTAGAGGACCAGCAGTACGAGCTTGCTTTCCTGCTCCATGCTGCTAGTCCTTGAGGGTGACCCAGAAGTCTTTGACATCCCAATCCCTTGCACCTACGTTGAGGCGACCTCGGGACTCGGGGCCTCTTTGTGGATAGCTGCCATGGGCGCGGAGATGGCATCTTGGAGATCCACTGGCACCTACGTCGACACAGTTCCCCCACCTGGGGTGAACGTAGTCAATGACCGGTGGCTCTTCAAGGTGAAGCGCCCTCCTGGAGAGACACCGGTGTCCAGGGCGCACTACGTAGCTTGAGGCTTCAGTCAGCGCGAGGGTGTTGACTTCTTCCAGACCTTCGCCCCGACCCCCAAAATGACTACTCTTCGGGCGCTGCTATGCGTAGCAGTACAGCGTGACTACAAGCTGCACTCTCTCGACTTCTCGACAGCATTTCTTCAGGGTAGTCAGCACGAGCAGGTCTACCTTCGTCGACCGCCAGTCTTCACCGGCACCTTCGCCCCAGGGACCCAATGGCTCCTCCGGCTCCCGGTTTACGGCCTGCGGAAGGCGCCGCGCAAGACGATGGACACGCTGCGTGCTACGTTAGCTGACCTGCAGTCCTTTCCGGCGTCTGCAGACCGGCGTGTTGGCCAGACCCCGTTCTACATCCTTGTCTACGTAGATGATCTGGTCTTTTCAATAGCAGACAGAGACACACTAGCCTCCATGAAGGTTGAGTTGCTGAGGAGACACACTTGCACTAACCTGGGAGAGCTACGCCGATACCTTGGCCTGCAGATCTCTAGGGACAGAGCATCGTGCACGATCACTCTGACACAGTCACACTTGGTGCACCAAGTCCTTCAGAGGTTCGGCCTTCAGTTCTCCTGTGCACAACCCACACCCTGCCATTAGATCAAAGCCTCTCGTCTCCAGTCCCTGAGGAATCTGTAGAGCCCAGTGGTCCTTACGTAGAGCTGGTGGGTTGCCTCATGTACCTGATGACTTGCACTCGTCCAGATCTCGCATACCCTCTCAGCATCCTGGCTTGCTTTATGGACACAGGCCGACACCGATTGCAGCACTGGTCGGCCGCTAAGGGGGTTTTGCATTATCTAGCAAGCACATCAGATATGGGGCTAGTGCTAGGAGGACACAGGCCAATGGTCCTTACAGGGCACACAGACACTTCATGGGTGGACGACTCTGAGACGCTCAGGTCCTCCCAGGGTTACTGCTTTACCCTTCGTGCAGGCGCCGTTTCGTGGCGGTCCATTCGTTCGTAGTGTGTTGCCCAGTCTAGCTGTGAGGCTGAGATCTACGCTAGTGCCATGGCGGCACAGGAGCTCCGCTGGCTGACTTTCTTGCTTACAGACTTAGGCGAGCGGCTTAGCTCTACCCCGGTCCTGTACGCTGACAACAGGGCCATGATCCTCCTGTGTCAGGAACCTCGACTGGAGGGCAGAGCGAAGCACATCTAGCTGTGGTACTTGCTTGTGCGCGAGCTTCAGCAGCGCCGCCAGACCCGCGTAACACACTTGGCCTCAGGTGCCAACACTGCTGATATCTTTACGAATGTGCTTGCGCCTAAACATCATCAGCGACGCTGAATACAGCTTGGTCTAGTTCCTGTAGCTTCTCACTTGCTAGGACCTTGATTGACTACTTTTTATATTATCTTGACTGGCCTTGTGGCCCTTGTCAAAGTGGCTGGACTAGTAGTACCGCCCTGGATTGCTCTTGCTTAGTTTGTACTCTTTCTGACTGGTCTTCGGACCCCTGCCTCAGAGGTTGGTTTAGTAGTGCCACCCTGAGCTGTGTGTTTCTTGCCAGGCACTGCCCCTCATCTAGCCTAGGGGGCGTGTCAAACATATTTTGTATATGTCTTATAGGCTACATAGGTGCGTACTCGTAGAGGGTACAACTGTCAAATATATGTATAACTCATATTTGTATAGACTGTATAGGGTCACCTCTTAGAGGGTACAACACTCTTAGGTATATACCCTTGTTCTCTCTCTCTATCAAACACTTGTTCAGTTTTCTTCTCGACATGGTATCACCCGTAGGTTCGACCCCCCCCCCCCTCCCCACCTACCGCTTCCGCACGTGCCTCCTAGGCCCCGTCGCGCTTTCACCTAGGCCCCGTCGCGCCGCCCCCACCTAGGCCCCGTCGTGCTCCTATCGCGCCTCCTAGCCCGTGTCACGCCCCTCCTGGGCCCCTAACGCGCCTCCTAGCCCGTCGCACCTCTCCTGGGCCCCGTGTGCCTCCTAGCCCCGCCGCCCCTGCCTGGCCCCGCCGCGCCTGCCTGGCCCCGCCACCCCTGCCTGGCCCCGCCGCGCCTGCCTGGCCCCGTCGCGTCTGCCTGGCCCCGCCGCGCCTGCATGGCCCCGCCGCGCCTGCCTGGCCCTGCCGCGCCTCCTGGTCCCGCCGCGCCTGCCTCGCCCTGCCGCGCCTCCTGGCCCCGCCGCGCCTGCCTGACCCCGCCGCGCTGCCTGGCTCCGCCGCGCCTGCCTGGCCCTGCCGCGCCTCCTGGCCCCGCCGCCCCTGCCTGGCCCGTCGCGCCTTGCCTGGCCCCGCCGCGCCTGCCTGGCCCTGCCGCGCCCCCTGGCCCCGCCGCCCCTGCCTGGCCCGTCGCGCCTGCCTGGCCCTGCCGCGCCTTCCTGGCCCCGCTGCCCCTGCCTGGCCCCGCCGCGCCTGCCTGGCCCCACCGCACCTGCCTGGCCCCTTCGCCCCGGCTCGTCCTGCCGTGCCGCCTCGGGCTCCGTCTCCTCTGCTCGCCTGTGCTGAGGCGCTTCACGGCCGCCGTGCTGGAGGGGGCTGTCGCTGTGTTCCTGTGGAGCTGTGCCGCTGACCCTGCACGATGGCGGACTTCGTGCTCCGACTGGACGCTGAGGGCCATGCGGTTGACTTCACCGCCTGGCTCTCCGATCTCCGCCGCCACCTTACAGGTCAGCGCCAGGATGGCCACTCTTTGGTTGTCCATGTCGACGGCTTGCTCCCCCGCCCCCCCGCACCTGCACCCCTCCCTACTGATCCCTCCTCTGATGACCGTGAGACCTTCTCTACTGCCGCGCTTGCCCGTGCGGTCTGGGACTCCCGCGATGCAGTCGCTCAG